TTGCGCGCCGTTGTTATTATTATTATTGTCCGGCAACTCGATACTTTTTCCCCCCAAACCCACGATACGGCAAAGAGTAATGCAACGGCAGTAGCGTTTGTCACTATTTTTATGGCAAAAATAGAAAAGGGTTGTTATTGCCCAGAGCACAACCAAACTGCAACTTCGAGAGGGTATAGAACAGAACCAAAGACAAAATAAAAGGATTTTTAAGTGGGCAAACAGCAACTGAACATTTTATGGCGAGCTTTGCTCAAGAAAAAATTCTCTGCGGGCATCGTAAACTGATGCCGAGGTTTGGGGAAGAAGGTGTTGGGTGGATGTCATCACATTAATTACACCACAATGTAATTACATAAATTAGCGCCCACGAATCCACGAGAGATACGCGATTGCGGGCGAGTTAACGCGGGGTCATCTTTTGGCAATGAAAATCAAAATCATGAAATGAAATGAAGTTTGCTGTGCCCGTAATGGTCATGAAATACTGCGTTTTCTCTGTTTCTGCCTGTTTCCTTACTATGACATTTCTAATCACTTAGTCTTTCTAAGATCCTTCCTTTTCACAGAAGAGGCAATACCTGCGAGGCGCCGTATTCGAAAAAGCCCCTGTTTCGATTATTTATGTGTGATTCTTTCGCTTGGTTTGCCATAAAACAGTAACAAAAGATATCGCAATTTTCATGTGCCTACGACCTGAATAACAACCGTATCGAATTTCCGGTATTTCGTCACGTGGTGAATCGGTTCACGCCTTGCGATCGTAGTACACGATGCTATTGTTTTTGTACAAAACCTGTGGCGATCGCACGATTTGGCCTCGTATCCTGGTTAAATTGTTACTAATACTTTAATATTAAACTTCGACGAGATTTTTTAATGTCGAAAAGCATCGTGTTTTTTATTTGGAAACCATTCGAAATGAAGTCATAGAGGCAGTCGGATTTTCGACGTGCGGCTCTCCACCGGCTGATTTAACCACGCAGAGTCTTTGCAGGATTACAAGTGCCACACTTGACCCTTGCAAGCATTGGTATCTACTTTTGAAAGAGGTATGTGGCATTCCTTTGCGTAAATATTTGATACGCGATGTATTTAAGATATATCCCGACGAAATCCAAAGTGTGGCGGCGCGGGAACTTCATTGAGCCGGCCAAATCATCGTTCGGCGTCGTGGGGTTAGCCAGGATTCCCGACATCGTTCACGTTGTGTCTACGTTCGGTCTAATAGCTGGTCTATCTTCTTCGTAATAAAACAATCCCCGACAAACTTATGAAATCTGCGGGATTTATGGCTATCGTAAATCTGGTGAACTCCACCACACTTGACTTTGAGCCCGAAGGCGCGAAAAATTTATCTTTTGGCGCCAAACTCAGTCATGACTCCGAAGAGCTCGCTTCCTTACTTACCGAAAGATCAGCTAGAGTAAATTCCCTTGGAGTGGAAATGAAGAAGCTTCAAACAAGAGGTTCCCATCTCGAATCGAGCATGGAGTCAAGTTTACAGACCCCTTTTCCCACCTCAATGCCCGTACCTTGTCGTGGTGAGGTGGCTTGAGTG